ACCGCTCTAGAAACTGTTGGTTCATATTGTCAGTGGTTAAAAGAGAATCCGACATATATACCGCCCGCTATTGAGTTGTTGGTTCGTGGTTTAAATTCTAACATGTCTGCCCAGGCCACGTTGGGACTTAAAGAGCTTTGCTGTGTGTGTCAACTGCAAATGAAACCATATGCTGAACCACTCTTAAATGCTTGCCAATCGTCATTAGCTTCGGGTCAAATGAAAAATTCTGATTGTGTGCGTTTAATGTACAGCATCGGTAAACTAATGAGTTTACTTCCAGCTGCTAATATACCAAACTATTTAGACATCATAGTGAGCCCTTGCTTTGAGGAGCTACAAGCAATTTGCCAGAGTGAAAGCGTAAGAATGCAAGGATTATAAATTTGATGTAAATATGTTAAAAGTGCCCTCCTTTTTGAATTTAAAGAGAACGCCTGCAGCACGCGTTCGTACAATATTTCGCCTGAACATGATATCAACATTATTTTCCTCGTTGAATACAGACTTAGATGAAGATGATCAAATTGAAGATCTGGAAAATGTGCAGCCTGTACTAATTGTGATGCAGAAAACAATGCCAATATTTCGACAAATTGCTGAGCTCTGGGTGGAAGAATTAGACGTCCTTGAGGTACGGATTACAATACTAAAAGAAGGGTGTTCATTGATTAATTTAAAATGTTAATGCTTTCTCTATATAGACTGCTTGTACTGCCTTGCAACATGCAATAGTCAATCTCAAATCTAGTTTTCGACCCATGTTGCAAGACCTCTGTTGCTTTATTGTAGCTATTTTCCAAACTCGCTGCTGTGCACCCACACTGGAGATATCGAAAACGGTTACAAGTTTTAATATTTCATTATAAAACGTATAAATTAAATAAGCTGTTTTTGTTTTGAATTTTGCAATAGGCCATTGTAATCTTTTACAAGGACGAGGGGTGCAAGTCTCTGATGCAACAACTTATGGTAGAATTTGTACTTCACAGTTTTAAGTTGTTCGAGGTGAGTTA